TTCTTCAGCTACAGCACAAATCTAGCTTAGCGTCTATGGAGATTCTCAGTCATTCAGACCTAGGTTATCCCCAAAAGTTCGTTTTCAGGGGGCAACTGGGCTTTCTGGTCTTCAAAGAAAAGCCATAAAGTCCAGTTGCCTCTTGAAAATGTACTTGGGGATAACCATGACCTGGATGACAAAATCTCCATAGATGCTAAGCTAGATTTGTGCTGTAGCTCTGGTTTGCTTGAACAAGCCACAATATCTGGATTTATACGCAGCTATGTGAATCATCAACCATAGTGGCGGGGTTCTTACCCCAAAGTACAGAGCCTGGCAGTGGTTGCTTATTCAGCAAAGCGTGGCTTAAAACTTGGGTTAGAAAATATACAGACCCAACCTAAAGGAAAGATGGTTTTCCAATAACTGTCAGATATGTGGAAATCTCTGAATATATCCAAGCAACCTTTTAGGTCCTATGCTCCGTTTCCATGATGGTAAACAGGTCCTTCCAGAGAAGTCCAGTGATATAATTACTACATATAAAGTAATTACTACATCTATCATCATAGTGCTTAGCTGTAGCCTTCCTTGTAGTGTGTTGCAAACTCAAATTGAGCTGAATTCACATGGCATGCCAAACTATAATGTGATTTTTTGTGGTTGTGGCTTAGGGCATTGTCTAAACCCAGCCAATGTGTGTGTGTGTGTGTGTGTGTGTTTAAATCATGGTTTATATTTAGTGTATTTTATGAAGCAAGCCAGCTTTGCTTGGAAGTATAAACCATGGTGAACCATGCCTTTGCACGCTGGGTGAGCACAATTGTAGTATGTCAAGGAACAGCTTGACTTCCTTACATCCCCTTTTTTTTCCCCACACTCAGCAGAACTTTTCTCTTAGATGTGCAATTGTGGTTTCAGTCTCCATCTGATTCTAATAGCACACAGCTGTGGAAGTTAAGACATCCAATGATTTATGTAGGGATTGACTGGAGTAAGCCTAGTAGTTTGTGAGCTGGGAATATTAGCTGTGTTTCATTAAGCACAAGGCAACCTGAAGTCCATTAAATGAAAAAAAGCAAGCTATTTTGGGGGGGTGGGGGAAGAACTTTGAGAGGGAACTGCAGGGGGAAAGAAAGGTAGGTGGTGAATGCAAATTGCATCGTAAGTAAATGAGCATCATAAAAGGTATATATGGTGTGTAAAGTTGAGAGTAAAAAAAAAGAGCAAGTAAGGATTCTGAGTATTGTAGTTTTGCTGTCTCAGGCTTGAGAGCCTCGTCTTCATTGATGAAGGGCAAAAAAATTTAAAAGGTGAAAACATTGCAAGGTTAGTTGAAGCCTTAACCACTGAAGAACCTGGGTATGGAAGACAGCCTGGGAACCTCAAGTTTTTAGTTTTCATTTTAGTGAAATGAAAAACAGCATTACAGATAGTCCTCAATTTATGACCATAAGGGAGCCTGTTAGTCATGGTCATAAGTCAAGAGAGTTGTAAATCAGGTCACCTATGTGACTGGCCTAATGTTATGACCTTTTTGGCAGTGGTTGTTAAGTGAATATGGTGGTTGTTAATGGCTCACTATTGGCTGGTTTTGCCAAAAGCTGGAAGTAAAGCCATTGTAAAATGTGGTCAGGTGACTGTGGGACATTGCAAAAGGTTGTAATTGCACACTGGTTGCCAAGCAACCGATGTATGATGGTCACATGACTGGGGAGTGGCTTGAAACTGGGTGGTAATTACAGGTGGTCCTTGACTTACGACTACAATGAACCCCAAAATTTCTGTTGTTAAGTGAGACATTTGTTAAGTGAATGTTGCCCCATTTTATGGCCTTCCTTGCCACAGTCGTTAAGTGAATCACTTAACAGTTGTTAAGTTAGCACCATGATTGATTGTTAAGTGAATCTGGCTTCCCCATTGGCTTGTCTTGTCAAAAGGTTATGAGCACCTGAATTTGGATCAGGTGATCATAGGGATGCTACAAAGGTTGTAACTGTGAAAAATGGTCACAAGTCACTTTTTTCAGTGCTGTTGTAACTTGGAACAGTCACTAAATGAACTGTTGTAAATTGAGGACTACCTGTATCCCCAAGGAGGTCCTTCGTATCATGGAAGAGTTGCTGAGTCACCAGTCGTAAGTTGAGAACTACCTATGAAAGCCTCGTCTCTACTTGGTGGGTCTCTTACTTATTTGAGATTACCGGCATGCCAAGTCAGCTGAAGAGATGCATTTCTGAATTGGAGTAGAAGTCACTTAAATATACCTGAGGTTTGCTTCAACCTTCTGGAGTGAAGCTCAGTTAAGTTCATACAACCTGCTAAGCCAGAACTGAGCATGGCTTTGTGTAGCTTAGTGCAATGTGTGAACTCGGCCATTGTGTTTCCTTTTCCAATGTTCTTGTATTCCACGTGCATATAAAAGAAGGTTCTACAAAGGCTTCAGTGTATGTTTACTATTGCAATTACCAAACGATGTGCAAGGATGCCTTTTTACTTACCCTGAGCAAGAGGTTTGGCAGCTAATGCAGGGCAATAGAGCAAGTGTTTTTAAATGAAATTTGTAATCTGATGCCTTAAACTCCAATAAGGTCTCTGGCACTGAAGGGTGAAGAAAGAAGTTAATTATCCAACGTTTCTTGGCCATCTGGGAAGACCAGAGCATTCTTCACCAAAAATGCCAGAACTGACAGAATAGCAGAGTTGGAAGGGGCCTTGGAGATCTTCTAGTCCAACCCCCTACTTAGCCAGGAATCCCTATACCACTTCAGACAATGGTTGTCCAGTCTCTTCTTTAAAACCTCCACTGCTGAGCATTTACAACTTCTGGAGGCAAGTCGTTCCACTGATCAATTATTCTCACTGTCGGGAAATTCCTCCTTAGTTCTAGGTTGCTTCTCTCCTTGATTAGTTTCCACCCATGGCTTCTTGTCCTGCCTTCAGCTGCTTTGGAGAATAGCTTGACTCCCTCTTCTTTGGGGCAGCCCCTCAAATATTGGAACACTGCTATCATGTCACCCCTAGTCCTTCTTTTCACCAAGCTAGACAAACCCAATTCCAGCAACCATTCTTCATATGTTTTAGCCTCCAGTCCCCTAATCATTGTTGTTCCTCTTCTCTGCACTCTTTCTAGAGTCTCAACATCTTTTTTGCATTGTGACGACCAAAGCGGGCAATCCCCTTTCCTCCCTCATCATGGGTTTCTAATGAAAAACCCCAAGTTACTCCTTCGCGTTGCATCTGTTCAGTAGGGATCAACATGTTTACATACAACAGTGCATATTTGGTTTGTTGGAGGAAAAATGACTCTAAGGACAAATGGCTTTAATTAGCCAGTGGTGCTCAATCTTATTCCATGCTTGACCCCAATTAAGAAAACAAGAAAGAAAGGAAGATATCTCGGTCATTAGAAAAACAAGAGTGGAAGCTTTTTAGAAAGTTAATACAGCAATAAAATTACAAGAAAAGTGGGTTCATTTGGAATTTCCTGGATAATGCAGGCAAACCTGTGTTTCTTTTCTTGACAGCAGAGTTGATTTAATGTGTGTCCCATCCATCTGTGAAACGCATCAAAGGGTCACCATGAATTATCTTATTTTAACTTTACTTTGCAATATGGCAACAATTTCCTCTTTCCTGGGGTAAGGGGAGGTCCGAGCCAGGCGGCTGTTATAGTTAATCTCCTCTCCTTTACAACGAGCTGTTTGCTTCGGCAGTGCTGGTTTTGGGCCTCCACCAAGAAAACTTCATTGCAGGAACAGAGTGCTGCAGAAACAAAACAAAAAAGATGAAGGTTTTGTAAATGCAACCTGGACACCTGCTACATATATCGATCTCCGAGGCCACCGGGGACTCTGTTTGGCATCCTATGGATAGATTTTATTTTGAAAGTCTTGGCTCTTACTTGAGAGCTTAGTTCTTGGACGGCATTGGTAATTCTGGATCTTGTTCTACTTTGGTAATTGCCCCTGAAAAATAAACGGTTAAAACAGGCAGTGGGGTTGTTCCCTTCCCACCCATGTTTTTCTTAGGGCCAATTGCAAAAATTTGTTTTGAATGGCTAGTATTCTTTGGCCTCTGGGAGGGAGAAAACTTTCTTTTGGATGTCATATTTTTTCAGTCAGTTGCTGACTTCCCACCAGCTTTCCCACCAGACCTATTATGCTCCCCCCCCATTGCCCCCAAGGCTGACTTCACTGCTAGTGTGTGTGCTTTGCTAATTACTGTTTAACATGTGTAAGTATTTGTATATATACACAAAGAGGGACAACCCACCCTCTCCTAAAATACCTTGGATTTTCTATCATTTCTTTGCTGTGCTATTGACCAAACTCTGAAAAATGCAGGTAGTCCTTAACTTTGCACCATTTGTTTAGTGACCGTTCAAAGTTACAACTGCATTGAAAAAAGTAACCACCGTTTTTCACATGTAGGATTGTTGCCGCATCCCCCCTGGTTACGTGGTCAAACTTCAGGCGCTTTGCCACTGGCCTGTACCTGGACACTGGACTGTTGCAATTTCATGGGCTCATGTGATCTTCCCAGCTGGCTTCCAACAAGCAAAGCTAGTTTCGCTTAAGAACCACAGGATTCACGGAACTGCAGTGACTCACTTAAACACCCGTGGAAAAAGAGGTTGCAAAATAGAACCTAACTCCCTTAATAACTATCTGGCTTAGCAAAGGAAATTTGGGGCTCAGTTGTGGTTATAGGTGAAGGACAATCTGTATTATCCAGTTATGCCGTCTGGAAGATTTTTTGTTTGTTTGTATAGATGGGGAGATTGTAGGGGTTTTTTTTTGGTGGTGGGGGCTTTTTACTGCTCATTGATAACTTGTTGAGTCCTTTGTGAGCAAGAAACCTGATGAGAAGCAAGTTAAGGTGGTGATCACATAAAATATGCAATGAACTTTCTGGGAATATCATCTGAGCCGTTCCTGGAAATCATCAAAAGACCGAGAAAGGATCGGTTTAGACTCCCGTTTTCTCTGATAATGACATTCTGCTTACATTTCCAGAGATAAAAACTACAGTGGTGTACCCAGCAACTGAAAAACATCTTCAAAAATACTTGTCTCGGTCAGTGTATCTCATCCAGGAGACGGGAGAGGATTATAAGAACATCACTCTGCCTTTTATCGAGTCACAAAGTATCAGCATTCAGGTACAAATGTCATTCCTTGTTACGAATGTGCCCTCAAAAAGCAACATGGCTTAGGTCCAAAGGGGTAATCTGGGTGTACCCCAAAGCCTTGGGGGATGATGAGGATTCTTCCCTCCTAAATGTTGCTCCCAGTACCTAAAGCGCTCTGACCTCAGCTGCAGAAATCCAGATAACCGCTAAAGAGTAGACAAGAGAGACGCTTTTCTGTTTTTCTTTACCATCAGTTAGTCGCCGTGCAGGTTTTGGCTGCCCAGTTCTGTTAACTCCACCTGTATCTCAGGACAATTTCAAAAACAATTCTTTCCTAAGATAATTGGGTATATGTTATTCAGGAAACTGAAACTGTAATTTCAACTCAGGAGGGAGGCGGCAGACATCTTTGAACGGCATAATTTTTTGAAACATAAAAGGAGCTTTAGCTGATTGCAACTGATAGCCTTTTTCTTTCCGGATTTTGTCTTTTCCGAACGGCTTTGTGATTCAAAGGAATAATTGTTCGTACCAAACAAGGTTTAGCAAATGGTTTGGCTTTTTTGTGGCATTGTTGCCCTTGGATGTAATTTCATTCTGTTTCTTGCAGCATTCAATATGCAGGAGAGCTTGGCTTTTTTCCCAGGACGTCACCTCTGTGGCCTCTCTTCTAGCTATGACATCATTGGCATATATTGAATGAGAAATAGTTGGGTGACGGGGTTTGCATGTTTATTTTGACAACACCAGGCTCCTTTTCCACCCCAAAAACCAATTTTCATCCCTGGAACAGTCATGTATGAGTTGAGGTGCCTTCAAGCTGCGTGCAAGTAAAGCCAGTCTAGAAGATGTATTGACTTGTAAATGCTTAATACCATACAAGAGAACAATATTAACATTATACTAGGAATAACATGATTATTCTTTTAAATGTCCTGTTAATTTTTGTCCTGATTTGGCCCATTGTTCTGGCTTTTTAGGTATTTTGTCAGGTATGGTCCCTGGCATGCTACTCAACAACAGAAAGTTGAGGAAGTAATAGGAACCAAAGAGGAACTAGAAATTGCAAGGGGAAAGAGAATTAACAAGAGCTGAATCTGAGCTTACAGATGCTTGCAGTGTAATATTACAGAAGCAGCAACTGGTTCAATTGAATTCATTCTCAAATATGAAAAAAAAAATTAGGATTGCAATTCTGGAATTTATTTGGAGACCTAAGGACCTTAACAAGAAGACATTGCCATTGGTGTTTTATGGAGAGAGCTGGGATTTGATCCTCTAGATACTATGGAGATGGGACTCACCCTTTGTCTCCTCCCCCAAATTTAATGTGGCTTCTTCACTAGAGATGTGTGTAGGGAATTTGCTTTGCTGCACCAATCTTTAACATACATGTTCAACTAGGGAGTAATTACATTTATGATGTATGAACCTGGGCAGGTCATTATTACACGGGCTTCACATGAGAGGCTTATAATGATCAGTTGGCCTTTTCTTCTCGTTGCAAGTGCTTTGGTATCTTCTCTCTTGATTTTAAAAATGCATAAACAGGGATGAATGAAACGGTTCTCCTGACCGATAGCTCAAAGCGAGAGAGAGAAATTGTTTTGGAAATACCACCGGACTTTGACATTATATTTAATTAATGAGATAATAGTAGGACAAGAGGTTTCGATGAAGAACCTCACATTTTAGGTGGTAGGATAATTGATAGGGGCTCAATCTGTTTAGCAAGCGCTAGACAAAAATAACATTCTCTAACTAGTGCCACGCTGTGCTTGGCAATTGCTGCTGTATTTCCCTCATCTCCTGCTGGTTTTCTTTAACTTCAGCCCTGCAGGTTTCTTTCTTAGTCGATTTCAGAAGCACCCTGCCACTATCTGCTTTTTCAGTCATACAGACAATATTCAATTATGGGTTACTTGATACAAGAGATCTAAGGTCTGTCACCTTCACTCAGAGCTTCTCCTACGGAGATGTTTTTTTTTTTCCTTCAAAAAGGATGCAGTCATTTATTACTGGGTAAAACAGGTCTGCTTTCAAAGACCTGCAGGGGTGGGATTCTACCAGTTTGCACCTATTCGCTAGAACCGGTTGTAAACATTCTAAGCAGTTCAGAGAACCGGTTGTTAGAAGAACTTACTGGCCTAATCCTGTAAGGAAGGCAGGAAGGAAACATGCTGGTGTTGCTTACAGAAACTGCCTCTCCATTAACCCTTTTTACATTCTTGGCAGGACTAGACTTCCTGTTTCAGGAAGGTCTCTGGGTTATTTTTCCTCCTTTGCTGGTACTTTGCTTGTGTGGTGGGACCATTCAAAGTTACAATGGCGCTGAAAAAAGTGACTTATGACCGTTTTTCACACTTACGACTGTTGCAGCATCCGCACAGTCACGAGAGGCCAGGCGAGGAGATGCGTGCCTCGTTGATATTAAGTTGGCCACGCCCAGCCAATAACATGACCACTAAGCCATTTCCATTCAGTCACATGATGACCTGCCCACCAACTAAGCCACGCCCAACTAAGAACTGGTTGTTAAAAAATTTGAACCCCACCCCTGAAGACCTGTATACCATATGCTCTGAGATTTGATATATCTGCTCCCTTAGGTTGTAGGGTTGGAGTAAATAATTCTGTTTCCTTTAATTGATTTCTAATTATAATTACATGCAGTTGCCACTGTGTCCATTCTCTGGGATGCAAAAATCCAGATGATGGATTTTTACCAGCAGATGACAGTCAAGCAATTAAAAATTGGCGGACATTTAGATGAAGGAGAATATTTGTAGGTCAGGTTCACCTCAGCCAATGGACCATGGCCAACCCTCCATGGCCAACCCACGATGGCCAACTCGTCATGGGACAAGATGCAGGACAAGAGTTACACTAATATCAAAGAAATAATGGAATAGAATAATTAAGGAAAGGATGCAAAAGGAGGGACAGAATGGAAGTGAATGGCAAAAATTAAAATATTTTTTAATTTATTTTAAATAATTAAATTGAATTGTTAAATTATCCCATGGCAAGTTATCCTGCGGCGAGTTGACGGTGGTCAGTTAGCTGCAGTTAGTTGGCTGCGACGAGTTGATTGTGGTGAGTTGGCCCACAGCGTGGTGGCTGTAGGCAAGTTGTCCCACTCCATTGACATGAGGGGGTCCTTGGCGCTCTCTGAGCTTGCTTGTTTTCTTGCAGACGTTTCATTACCCAAAGTAGGTAACATCATCAGTGCTAATAAGGAGTGCTGTTTGCTGTCAGTTTATATCCTGGCAGTTTGCCGTCTCAGTGTTTGTGAGGATGGTCATTTAGATTTTTAGAGCCTAAACAAACTCAATGTAAACTGCTTCAAACTTGATCGCAGAAAGTATGACTTCAGCAACAGAGTGGTCAACGCCTGGAATGCACTACCTGACTCTGTTACATCCTCTAAGCTCCACTCCTTTAAACTTAAACTATCCACTATTGATCTCACCCCATTCCTAAGATGGTGCATAAATGCCTGTCCTATTGTCCCCATTTATTCATACCTATTTCCTGTATTCTTACTCATGTTTATACTTATACCTATTATCTTGTAAGCGATTGACAAATCAAATCAATAAATAAAATAAATAATGGTAGCTCTAGGTTGATTGCATTAAAAAGCTTAAGCATCCAATGTTTCTGGTTGGACTGTTTGACTTTGTTCGAAACCATGATTAATGGTTTGTATATAACTTGAAATAAGGCAGATTTAGAAGAATAGAATAGTGCCTTTTCTGTTGGCTCACCATTGTGGTTTTTTTTTTTCAAGCTGCACAGAATTCTTTTTTAGGCAGTCTACTCCTTCAAAAGAAAAAGACATAGAATTTCATTTCATTTGAAGTGTGAGAATTGGAATTGAACAGCAGGGCTTTAGCAGAGGTTCACAGAGTGCAACCCTATTTGGTATTTTTGCACAGTCAAATGTGTCGTTGTGATATGTTTGTAATTATTTACAGCTGCAAACATCTGGCCTTTTTCTTTCTTGTATCTGGCAGCACAATTTACTTTGTGTGCTCCAAACGTGCCTTGATTTCTTCTTTAAAAAAATAATAATAATGAAATGAAATAAAACAAAATACTGCCTCCAGCCAAATCAAGTCCCTAGTTGTGACACAGTCCAACTAACATGTGATTTTGTGAAAGGGCACCTGTTGTGCAAAGCACCTCAGTCTGTCAAACACCCCGGATTTCGTACCCTCCTCAAAATGTTTCCATCCTATTATAACTCATGAAACTGGCATAACTTCTCAGTGTGTTCCACATGGGTAGACGTACGCAAAAATATCTCACATACCCTGGAGTTAAATAGCAAGACTTAATGATGGTTTCAAATGTTCAAGTACAGCAGTTTCTCGTCTACTAAATTTCTAAACTCTTCCTTCCAAGTGCTCTTCGTGTCAGAAGCTGCTCCTGAGGGAGCCCGAATAGTGCTGAGCCTCAGCAGACAACTTCCTTTTATTCTGATTTATTTACTCTACAATGCTGATAAGCCACTCCATTTGAAGCTGACTTTATAAAGCTCAAGAGAGCCCTATAGTTTTTAAAAGGTGCCCCTGGATTCACCCTGGAATTAATTTGGGGCTTCCTGGCCTAACGTTTCCCCAGTGGGTGCTATGGCCTTGCTACACTGAATTCTGTACAGATATTAGTTAAAAAAACTGTTCCGTGCCTAAAGAAATTTGAAAGTTGTATCATTATTTCTTTTCCTTCTCCTACTTCCCAAGCTATATTAATGTAGTTTTGCTTCACTGCAGTCAGTTTCATGGCAAATCCATTATCCTTTTTATGTGGGAGCTAGTATTCCGCGGAAGTGCTGCCATTTTATGTGTCTAAGCGTTGATTAAAGCGAGTGTTTTGCTTTCAGAAGTGACAGGGTATGATTCACTTTGGAGAAAAAAAAAAAGAAAACCCATTTCCTCAATCATCTGGATAGGAATGCAGTGGGGATGAAGATGAAAATAATTCTATTTCCCTCCCTCCAAGATTGACCTCAGCCCTGACATAGGATATTTGATGGTTTCCAGGTCAATGAACTGCAGGTTGCATTAGTTTGGAAATCCTGTTGTTCTTTGGGCAATTCCAGTGCCATTTTGTATTTCAGAACCCAAAATGAAATTTATGTGAGCCAAGAACAAATTAAAATAACAGCCTGGCTTGGACATATGCATTGGATGAAGTCAATCTGATTTTAAGCAATTAATCTGTTGTTTGCTTAGTGAGATGAGTAGCATATAAATTGAATAAATTAATAAATGCATGTTATCTTTTTTTAGTGGGTATACAACATCCTGGAGAAGAAGGCTGAAGCCGATCGAATTGTCTGTGAAAATCCAGATCCCATCAACGGTTTTGTTCTCATTCCAGATTTTAAATGGAATCAAAAACAGGTCAGGTAAAAAAAAAAGGAGGAGTTGCTATTTTGCAAGTAAGACAGGCTCCTAGAGAATTGGACTGTTTTTCCTGTTACAGCCAGACCTCAGAAAATTTTCAGGATTCTCACATCCTCTTTTGCTGCTCAATAAAATGAAAGTCCCCTTGGTTGGGTCACAGGTTGTATCCAACCACAATTTTTTAAAACACAGCTTGTTGAAGGAACCGCAACTGGTTTAGGACAATGTGCAAAACTGAGTACTTTCTCTACAAAAACCTCCCTAGGTCCAAAGATGTGTTGATGCACCTGAGTAGTCTCTGAAATGCTTCTGACATATAATATAATGCCATACAAGGCCCAGCACACAGGATTTTGACACTTCTAGATTTAATACATGTAACCAACATGAAATAGAACTGGAGAGTTGTTAAGCTTCCTGTGGTGAAAACCAAAGCAATGACTAAAATTAGAAGCTTGAAATTTTCAGCACCTGTAATGAATGCAAATGTTTCATTTTTACTTATATTGTTTCAATCTCCCTTGGTGATTGGGTTTGTAAAAACTTTTTTTATTTGACCTTCAGGCCACACTTTTTAATTCATCAAATATATATCTTGTTTCCCTAGCAAATGGTCCCTTGCTTTAAGATTTTATTATGAAAGAACAGATGCCTTAAAAATCTTTGCCATGTTCAGTTAGTTTAATAAGTAATTTATAAAAAGAATCAGTTGAAACCAAGCTTTTTTGCTTTAATTTCTTTGACAGTCAAGTTAGCAAAGGCTATTAATAGACTATATACTGGGACATCATAAGCTTTCAGAATGTGACTTTTTATTGTTGAGGAAAAATTGTTTTATGTTGCTTCTCAAATATAGATCCTTTGGGACATCAGGACTATTTCCTTACACTTATTTATTTATTAAATTTATATACTGCCCAGTTCCTGAGAACCCTTAGTTATTCCATACATGGATTTATTGTTATAATATAGGGGGGTTTTTATGGTTGCGTTCATCCATTTGTGAATTCTGGCTCTGAACTCTGTTACCGTTCCGGGTTGTGTTAACTGAATCATCTGTGGCTTATTCAAACCTTGGTTAAACAAACCATGATTTATGTGTCACCTACTGAACTGAAAGAGTGATGATATACTTTAACCATGGATAGTTTTGGTTGCCACTCTGTATTTTTTAATGAACTAATTTTAATAGGGCTGTGAGGTTATATTTGTTTTCTTTGGAAGGCATTTTTCTGGTTTGTAAAGTCATGAGATTTCAGCTCATCTTCGTTTTGAATATGCATCAACTTCATGCTTTTTATAGAGCTTCCTGTTTTGAACAGAACAGAAATTTTTTTAAAAAGTAGCTCAGTCATCTATAGATAAATGTTCTTTTTCAGAGTTCCCATTTTCAAGATCAGAGTTCAAAATCAATGCAATGAAACAGCTTTATTTGTCTACCAAATTGCCCTAGGCATGTAAAAAAATGTATGATATAATTGTGCTTTTCCACCAAATGCTTGTGATCTTACAATTAATTCTTTGTTTCAATGTTTTCTTGATGGATCACACCAGCATAGCCTCTCCATAGCTGCTGGCAGAAGATAATGGACGCTGCAAGGGGAATGAGGAGTAAACTCAAATTTTAAAGTTGCAAGAACACCAAATCCTTACTCTAGCAAACTGAATACAATGGGGTTGTGTTGTCAATTACGCACCAAGATCCACACAATGTGCCACATGAAATAGTAATATTTTCTGTTCTGAAACCAACAAGGGAGCCCCTTTGTTCTTGCAATTTCCTGTATTGTGATCATGGGGTTAAAAAGTGACCATCCGTGAAAAAGAAAAAAAACAGTTTACATTTGGTGGGTCCAAGTTACCAGGAACATAGGGGAGTGCCGTGATCTTGAAAAACAATATCCTGCTTCAAAAATCTAGTCTAAAGAGGACTTAGAACAACCCATGATACTTTTCATTGTCTCTTGGGTTTGATGATGTTACTATTTTTAATGAGCATTTCAGAAAGTTTTAATTGGCTTGGTTAGCTTCCTTGCAGACTCCACAGTAGGTCAAAACATTTGAGGTACAATTCAGTGGACTCCTTCGGCATATCAGAAATTGATATGTGTAAAGTTTGAAATTGTTCTGCCCCAAATCTGGTTCCAAGAGAGTAAACACAAGACAAAGGCAGCAGCACAACCTTTTAATGTTTCATCTATGAATCCTGTCAAAAAACAACAGATAAGAAATAGTTTACAATACAAGTATCTTCAAATATCAACTGTAATGTCCATGAGGCTGAGTTTCAAAACGTCTTTGCTTCCTACAAAGAACGTTCGCTTCAAAACTGCCTTTTATCTTCTTGAAGGAGGGGCCATTACCTTCCATTACCTTGAAGCCTCCCGAGATGCCCGTGCTGCTACAGCTGCTCTTTCCTGCGAACAATCCTGTGCGCACGTGCACTTGGCACAGGCTCCTCGGGAACCTCCTCATTGCTGCTGCCAGCCCCCACAATCTTTGAAGTTAGCAATCCACTTCCTAATGGTCCTGGCCCCTCATCCGAGTCCTTGCTCTCCTCAGCCATCCACACCTGCTGCTGGCTAACCACAACAATAATATTACATTCATGACTGAATTTATTTCCAGCATTTTAACTTTAATTATTCCTCACTTTAATTGCATTGTTATTGCTTCTTTACTTTTACAAATACCACTTCTTGCAAGCTAGGATTTACTTCTTTTTTTCCAATACATTTTTATTATTTTCCACCAGTACAAATCTTAGTTACTTTTTCACAGTATTGATATCCACATATAATATTATCTTATTCTATTAATACCTATCTTAATCTATATTATCCTTGTTTATCATTAACCATCAATATATATTGCCTTTATATTATAGTTATTATTATACATCCTTAATATTGTCTTGTTCTTTTAACATCTATTCATACCTATCCTTAATACATATTATCCTTGTTTATCATTAATCATTAATACATGTTACCTTTATATTACACTTATTATTGTACATCTTTGATCCTTCTGTCTATCCTATTATATCTTGTGTATCACTTTCTTGAGAATTCTTATTTAATCATCTTTTCTAATTCTTATCTCTCTATTTCTAGCCATGTGTACCACCTATGCCAAACCGAGTAGTATTTTGATTCTTCTTTCTCTCTCATTTTAAGTGTGAGCATGTCCATTTCAGCTCAGTCTGCTATTTTTTATATAATTAACTCTTTAAATTTACTTCTGTCTAATAATTTGTAAATCATTTTTACAGAAGGTTTGTTCAAACCCAGCTCAAGCTCGATGGTTTTAAATCCAAAAGCTGATCATCTGCTGTGTAAACTGCTTCTGATGATGTAAAATGCTTTGAACTCTTTCCAAGTCCAGAATAATTTAGAGCCTGAATGCCCTAGTACCAAAAGTCAAAACTGTGTGATGCTTGTGGTAGAGTAGTTTTATTTCTCAAGGCCTTCTCAACGACGGTCCTAGTATAGTAGATCACATTTCCCCTTGAAGAGCAGGCGGTCCTCTTCTGTGGTTGTGTAGCTGTTGGTCCTTGGTAAACACAGCTGTTGTAACTGGGGGTTTTATGCAAAGTGTTGGTGTGGGTTTTTGTTTTTACTCCTATATCAGTTATTGGAAATGTGTGATTATATATTGTGGTTTAAAATAAGTTACTCTGAGCCCGCTTGGCTGGTAGTACAGTGGAATGTCTGTCTGTCTGTATATCCATCCATCCATCTATCCATCCATCCATCCATCCATCCATCTATCTATCTATTGTATTATCTAGGCCAGTGGTTGCCAACTGGTGGGCAGCGGCCCATTGGTGGGCTGCGAGAAAATTTTGGTGGAGAAATGTCACCCCCGGAGCACCCCCAAAGCAATTAATCCAGGCTGCACAGGAACACAAGGCTATGCTGCCCACATGGCCTGCAGGAACCCTCCCCGCCCACTCACTCCTTACCTGGCAAACTTGCCTGCTAAATTGCTATTTTTCCTTTTTCTTTTTTTCAACCATCAGCTGTTCTGCTGTGCCGGGAGATTTAGATCAGCTAGGAAGCAGGAAATGGTTGGATTTCTTGCTTTCTAGCTAATCTTTAGATCTTTGGCTTTGCTTTTAAGCACAGCCGAACCTCCCTTAGGACTGAAGGTTCTATTATTCAGTGCAGACTCATGGCAAGCAAATTTTATGTGACAGACTGAGCTAGCCGATGGCAGATAGATAGATCACTGAATGATTCTGTGAGCAACTCAATCTGCCTTCCTGCTTTGCCTGATTTTGGATAAAGGTTGCTCTTTTTTAAAATAAAAAAGTCAATATTTATATAAATATTTATAATACAAGCCATGCCCAGCCAGTTACACCCACAAATTAGGCCATGCCCACAAAACCGGCTAGTGGTCCCTGGGATTTAAAATTATGAGTTTGGTGGTCCCTGAGGTCCAAAAGGTTGGTGACCCCTGATCTAGGCAATACTAAGTTGGCTTCTTGAAATTACTTGTTTACAGCCCTGGACAATTATCCCTGCAGTGATGAGATGTACTGTATTTTTGGGTTAAGTGTTCGCAATCCGTCAGTATGCAGGACTTAACCCTGTAAATGTAATGCCAAACTCTGTTTTCTCATGGTCATCCTTCAGAAATACCTTGGGGATGGACAGGGATGATGGAGAAGAAGCTGCCTGTCATGGATTGTTGTGAGGAGGTGGCTCCCCAGGAGGGAGGGAGTGCATCCCAGAGGATAAGAGGAAGCTCAGCCCAGATATTATGTGTGAGAGAAAGAGGGTGAAGACAGCCCTCTTCCCAATAGTTCCCAGAGTATAACGTGTAGAGTCTCCAGTCTGGCAAGATTTTGTCTATAAGGGTGAAACAATAAAGAACTTGGCCTGGAAGAACCACCCTGCGTCACGCTTAGTTTTGAGCCTGACATCACCTTAGGGAAAAAAGTTCATGTTGTTGCTTTAGGACTGACCAATGCGAAACGTGAAAAGCATTTAATTGTACCTCTGACTTGAACCAGCCTGTTCTGTATTTACAGCTTGAGGATTTATACTTGATCGCCATCTGCCACCGCAGGGGAATCAAGTCAGTGAGAGATCTTACGGCTGAGCATCTCCCTTTGCTGAGAAACATCTTGAAAGAAGGAGGGGTGGGTATCTCTTTCACCTCATCCAAGTTTTGGGTCTTCTAATTGTAGGTTTCCTGATCTGCCCAGATTCTTCTTGTGTTGATGAAACTGAGTACAATATTAACATGCAATTAGAGAAACTCTGTCAATGATTTGCAAGACAGAATTTTCCCTGCAGATATCCAAGGCTGTGAATTAATGAGAGTATAATTCACAGTTTATAATTCCATTGCAGGGTCTTGTGTTTTTGAGAGAAAATGAACGGGGAAAAGCCCCTTTTCTTTTATATTTGCCCACTATTGGTTTCCACCACCACCCCATTTCTAGGGGAAAAAAACACATTTAGAACTTTTTAACTCTTATTTCCTGATTTGCAAGAGCATTCATATAGATCTGTAAAAAACTAAACAAAACACAGGCTGCTTCAGATTTATTTTTAAATGTAAGTCTAACTTGGGAAATGTTTTTCATCACAAAGACAGCGATGAATATTAGTGGTGTAATGTATTTTCTTCACCCTCAGGTGCTTTACCCTGTTATGTAAATCTTGCTTTCAAAATAGGTTTCTTTTTTCTTGTTTTTTAAAAAAATAAAAACTATGAGTTGTTTTACGACTTACAACTTTACATACAGGTACACATAAGAAGTGTAACAGCAGGTCAGTCCTCTCCTTTTGGGTACAGATGAGTTACTCTGGGTTCATGAAAGGGAAATTCCAGGGTGTGAGGGAGGAAATCCTATCTCTCTTTCCTCTAACTGCTTAGTCATTTCCGATGAAATTCTGAGGGAATGGTTCTTCACAGCAACTGACATGCCTCTTATTAGATCAACATGGTGGAGCTGCGGGCTGGCAGGCCGGAAGGATGTATGCCATCTATGTAATTTATTGTGGAGTTTTCATGTTGAATTTATTCGATTCATTGCTTATGGGGCACCTCGTGACTTTATAGCAATCCCTTTGTTGGTGGATGGTCTGTGCCTCTTCCCTCGGCTGCCCCCTACCTCTTCCTCGTTTTCTGGGCACAATTATTTTTCCCTTGTGATGAATTGGCCGATGCCAGGCAGTCCTGGCAAAATGAAATGCGTCTCTTTGGGATCAGATGTTGCAGAGAAGTCTTTTCAGAATGGGATGGCACCGTGCCCGGCGAGCAAGAGCCCAAATGGAAAATCTGGGGGAAGCGGCTTCCAAGACCACGGGCAGCTGCAATTTTACTCCTGATTGTTTAAAAGTCAGCTCTGCTGCAGGCAGAATACAGGCCCCATTGAGGTGCACAGATCTGTTTTGCAAAAATGGTCCTGTTGCACACTTACCTGTAGTAGGTAGGCCCTTCAGTTCAGTGCAACTGCCATAGTAACCACAATGGGTTGCAAAAGCGTAATGTTGTGGTTTGAGGAGGAGATGGAGAGCCAGCCACTTGTTCTCCTTGGACTGCTTCGGAAATCATGCCTAGAGGTTTCTGAAGCCCATAACCGCCTGTGTTTAATCTGATCGGCAGTTGGAAAATAAGCAAACACCAGAACAGGTGGGAGCGGAAAAAACGAATACAATTGGGTTCAAATGCTAAGAAATGGGAGGAGGGTCAATGACATTTCTATAAATTGCTTGGACGTGCTTGAAGTGCTGCAGGAGGCATCTGTCCCGTCTCCTAACAGCGCCCCCCCCCCCCCCCCGGTCGGCCTGCAGAGAACTACTGTGCTGATCCGGTGCTCAAAGAAATCCAGTTTGACACGCCTGCTGTAGGCATTTAAAGCCGTCCAGTTAAATGTCAGTGGGGAACATTCCACCATATGTTGGCCTTTAGGGGTTGACCTGAGATTCCAGAGTTTAGAAAATGAGAAAAAAGGTAGCTAAGTCCGCTTTCTTTGATCCATGCCTCATTTAATCATTTACCCTATATTTTGCCTTACAGGTAATCTTCATTTAGCAGCCACAGTTGGGACCAGCGACTTGGTCATTAAGCGAAGCGGTTGCTAAGTAGTTCATTTTTAATATGAACAGTAACTTATTGTCCATTTCTTCTAGGAGGCCATACAAAAGCGCTTTGGCCTTGCAAAGACCCAGCTGAGGGTTTACTTGCACTACCAGCCCTCCTATTTCCACTTGCACGTGCATTTCACTGCCCTGAGCTACGATGCACCGGGCTGCTCTGCAGAGCGGGCCCTCCTGCTTTCCGATGTGATGTATCATCTGGAGCTGGACTCCCAGTATTATCAGAAGTGCCCCTTGACCTTTCCTGTCCGAGCAGACGAACCTCTGCTGAAGAAATTCCAGGAAGCTGGTAAAGCCTGAACACCTGAGGATCTTGAAGAAAGAAGGGATGAAAAAAATATATACATAAACACAAAATGAGGATACCTTTATATGGTCTGTAAAATATTTTGGGGTTTTTTTTTTTAGACTTAACTTGTATTTTTTTTCTATTGGAAGATTTTTTTTAAAAAAAGTCAACAAATAGCTGTGTCCAGGAGTTCCAGGTGTATCTTCCTTCCCCTCACCGCCCCCCCCCTGCTGTTTTTGGAGTCCCCATTGACCCAAACCAGTACAAATAGTGGCCAGAGTGTCAGCGTTCCAAGGGAACCCTCATTGCCATCCCCCGCAGTGGCAGCCCTGTTAAGTCCATCCAAAGATGGATCCAGGGCTGACACAGAGTTGATAGAATTTGAAAAGCCACCGAATCTGGAAGGCTACAGGCATCATGTTCTTGTGCTATGTGGACCATGGATTTGACATTTCCGATGTTTCAGCAAATGGCAGATTGATGCTCTTCAATGGATTTGGGAGTTCAACAGCCTTCAGCCCTACCAGCTTCCATGATGGTGACAAATTGTGGACATTGTATTCAAAAACAAGATGCAGAAAACCTCGCGATGCAAGCAAGATTATATGTGCTTCATGTTTCTATTTCCTCCCGCTAAATTTTACATTTGACCTTCTTTTAAAGCAGCAATACTTGACATTAATCTGGGTGCTTTCCCTGGGCTGGTTGCTCTCCAGATTATTTTAGACTACAGTTGATCACCTGACTGTTGGCTACCAAGGATCACGAAAGGAGAAATAAGTTCTACATCAGTGTTTCACAATTTTAAGATATGTGGACTTCAACTCCCAGAATTCCACCAGCCATCATTTTAGGTTGATAAATCCTGCTCGACACACAACCTGGAAGAAAGCCACATCTACAACAGTAACATGCAAAAATGGATGCCTATAAAACATCATAAAAAGCCCAAATCAGTTCAGTCTATGAAAATTGGCTCTTGTTTTTTCCCCTGTTCATTTTCCAGCTTTTCAGTCAATAGTATCTGGTCACTGTATTGGCTTGTCTAGCTTAGGGTTGGGGCATGTTTTCTCCAGATGTTTAAGTTCAACTTTACATAATCTTAGCAAGTAAGGGAAGATTGCAGCTGCAGGCTAACATCTGGAAGGCCACCCCATTGCCTTTTCCCCTAAGTCCTTATGTGACTTTTTTGTTCCAATAAAACTGACCATGTGTTTCCTGTAAAGTAACTGCATTGTTTCTCAGCATTTTTTTTTAATTCTAAAAGTCCACATGTTTTAAGTTTAATTAAAATTACATGACATCTGAGCAGCTTTGCAAATGTTAGGGTGGCCCGGACCAATCTTTAAAAAGGAGTTTTTGCGGTCAGGAGTGTTAAAAGAATGGATTAAGAAAAGAAAAAGAAAGAAGTATAAAGAAAGAATAAAGGTATTTTAATATCTTTTATGCTTCTATGGACTTCATCCCCATAGATCCTGTTTTTTCCCCTTCTGTTGCTGTGACCCTGACTTGTTCTTGCAGAATGAATTCACTATTAAAATACAGAAAACTGTAGAATTCTATTCCATTTCTATCGCTGTTAGCATTTCTATCAAGATATGATTTATCCTCCAAACTGCAAATATTTAGTGATTTTTAGATGGCTTGAACTTAGGGGGGGGGAAAGACAGTTTTTTGCTAATACAACTTACAACCACAACAGGGACAAGAATTTCCATTACCAAACAAGGCAGTTTTAAGTTAGTGCCCACTGTATTTATTGTTTTGCTTCAATTGTTACGCTTATCACTGCAGTTGTTTAATGAAACATTCTGTGCTTAATTGAATCCAGATGCCCCTGTTGACTCACCTTGGCAGAGGCTGGCTAGGCAGGTTGAAGATGGCAATCGCTTCATCCTGGGATGTTTCAACCATCGTAAAATATATGCCAGCTGCCAAACACCCAAATTTTGAACTTGTAACCTGTGGGAAGTTTTTTTCATTACAGTTACAATTTCCAGCGGCCACTAAACAAATGGAGGTAAGTCACGGACTACCCGCATTTGTAGCTGAGAAGGACATAAAAAAATAAACCTGCAAAATTAGGGTGTGTTTTAAGTATATGAAATTATAGCCCAGAACTAACAGTTTTATCGGGTTTTCATTGGGTTTTCATTGTGAATTGGGCCATTCTGCAAGACTCATGTGCTAATTTTTTCCAATGTCTTCTATATTGATTTACTGTCACTTGCCAGAGAAAGAACTGGAGCATAACAGGCCAAAGAGAAAATAGGGGAAGAAGATGGTAAGAACATCATTAACCATCTGGCATCTGGATGTGAGCGAGAACATTGCTGAGTCAATCAAAGAGAGTTGTTCCCAAATTCAGTGCCCTGAGACAGAACTTAAAACAATTAAAAGTTCCTATGCACAGGGGAAGTGATGCCTAGGGTCTATCAATATGACTCACAATTCTGGCAGAGGTTAACTCTGTGTGGGTTTACACAATTAAGTCTATCCAATTTGGGATAGAATAACTTAGTTGGAAGGGACCTTGGAGGTCTTCTAGTCCAACCCCCTGCTCAGGCAGGAAGCTCTATACCATTTCAGACAAATGGTTGTCCAATCTCTTCTTAAAAACTTCCAGCGTTGGAGCATTCACAACTTTTTGAGGCAAGTCATTCCACTGATTCATTGTTCTCTTAGGAAATTTCTCCTTGAGAAATTGCTTCTCTCCTTGATTATTTTCCATCCTTTGCTTCTTGTCCTGCCTTCAGCTGTTTTGGAGAATAGTTTGACTCCCTTTTCTTTGTGGCAACCTCTGACACATTGAATCACTGCTATTATGTCAACCCTAGTCCTTCTTTTCATTATACTATACATACCCAATTCCAGCAACTGTTATTTATGTTTTAGCCTCCAGTCTCCTAGTCAACTTCGTTGCTCCTCTCTGCACTCTTTCTAGAGTCTCAACATGTTTTTTTTTACATCATGGAGACCAAAACTGGATGCAGTATTGCAAGTGTGGCCTTTTATAAAGCGGTATTAACACTTCACGTGGTCTTGATTTTATCCTTCTGTTTATGCAGCCTAGGACTGCATTGGCTTTTTTGGTAGCTGCAGCACATGGCTGGCTCATATTTAAGTAATTGTCTGCTAGGGCTCCAAGATCTCTCTTACTATTATTGAGGCAGTACCACCAATACTGTACCTGAGCATTTGGTTTTTCTTACATAAATGTAGAACCTTACTTTTTTCCACCATTGAATTTCATTTTTGTTAGATAGGGCCCAGTGTTCAAGTCTGTCAAGATCCTTCTTAATCTTAAGCCTATCTTCTGGAGCATTGGCTATTCCTGCCAACTTTGATGCTTAATCCTTATTTTAAAGCTTCACTTAACCCACCCTTTCACCTAAACCGTTGCCATCGTGGCTTCTGCAGCAGTGAAAAGCAGTCTTTGGGCTCATCGGTGTAAACAGACACAGCACAGGACAAAAGGTGGGGGGACGGGGCTCTGTTGCCAGTTCTTAATAGTTGGTGGTTTTTATAACAGCTGCAGTGGAATTTGGCACTGTGTGGCTTAGATAATGCCATTACTTTCCTCCGGAACAGATGGCAGTTTTACTTTTCTCAGAGGACAGTTGGTTTTGCAAAGATGCCCAGCAAACTAGCTCCTCTTCCAAGTGTGTCATCCATGACAGTTGCCGTGACATCCCTGTGATTCATCCTTAACAGGAACTCCCAAAGGGAAGGATAGGCTTTCCAAGTGAAAGTAGAGAAGCAAGGAAACATGTGTCAAGACAGGCAATATTTGTGCCTGGCTGAATGCTGCAGTTGACTGGTTTCACAAATACGCTAGGCTGGGGATAGGTAACTTTTTAATGGGCAAGGCTTCTGTTCCCTCCCCAGCCCCAGCCCCCAAATAAAAAGGGAGGAGGAGGAAGAGCCCTTTTCCAAGGATCACCCCGTACTATGTGGCTTGTGATACGGTGATATCATGAATGGGTGGTGCCAAAATAATTAGTTGGGCGTTGTTGGAGGGATTTAAAATAGTGGGGTTGTGCAAGGCTTTGGATCTGAAAGCGGCTTTGGAGGCTGCCTGAGACATAGCAGCTTTGTGCAAACTCTTTGAACCGGTTGAACCTGGTTAATTGGGAGAAAAGTCATCATCGTTTTAAGAAGTAGCAGACAGGTATGATGCTCATGCTCCTAGATCAGGGGTGGGGAACTATGGCCCTTTTACGTCCTGTGGATTTCAACTCCCAGAATTCCTGAGCCAGCATGGAAGCGCCTAGACCCCTGATCTAGGAGCTTCCAAGCACCTTTTTGCCGTCCTCTGGAGCTTCAGAACAAAAGGCCCAGGAGATGTGCATGGCCCAGGGGTTGTGCATTGTTTCCCCGAGTATTAAGCCAAAGCTCCGCAAGTAGAAGGATTGTGTGTTGAGGGCAAGAGATCTTCTACTTTACATGTTCTGTGAACAAGGTCTGATAGAACCGTTTCTGCAAAAGCTTTTTCATTCAGCTGTACGCAATGATAAAAACACGGATTGTTAATACAGACAGCAAACTTTGAAAAGGCTTCTGTGATATGTACTCTGTGCAACATGGGACTTTTCAGGGGTGATCTCAGAAAGAAAAATAACAGAGTATCCTGTGGTGCAAAGCAAATAATCCTTTGAACCGATGTGTACAACTCAGGAAGTCCAGGTGCTTAAAAAAAATGCAAGATGGGTTTTTGAAACAAAGGTTTGGGGCTTGAAATAATCAAAGCTACTCTGTTTCAGTGGAATGGGAGATAGAACAACCGTCTGACTTTTCCTTGGAATTCCCAGAGTGTGCCTAGACTTGGCAGTCATGCAGAAAACCACTTGGCTGTGCAGCTGGCAAGCGTAAATCCCTTTTTCTTACACAGCTGAAGTTGGAGCAGACAGAGCTGGTCATAGACAGGGGGAGAATTAAGCAGGCAGGCAGGGGAGTTTCACACAAAAGCAATGGTTTGTTTTAACCATGATTTATAGCCATGGTCTTAAATTGTGGGCTATGAGCCCCAGAATGGTTGTGAGCGACTAACTGGTGGTAGGGATTGCCAACATTTTACAGACTTGATCAGCTTGGACAAATAAAGCGTGACTATTGGCAAAACTTGCTCTAGGGTTGCTCCGTGCAGCAACCTGCAAATTTGGAGAAGTCTTGCAATAACTTTGGATAAAATTTAACTCCAATAACTCTAATCGCAATCAAATTACACTGTGACTTAGTATATCCATGATCTCAATCAAAGAAAAGTGTGCAGCTGAGATGTAGCCATGGTTGCTTACAATTGTCCTACTTATTTCAGGAACATTTAGGTTCAGGCAAGAATAGGCTGGATTTACTTCTATGAAAAACTGACTGGGTTCTTTTTGATAAAATTGGGGATAGAGCTGTTTATATGCCATTGACTGAAGTAGCCTCAGTAAAATAAAATACAGGTAACCCTTGACTTATGACCAAAATTGGGATCCATTTCTAAGCAAGGTTGCTTAGTAAATAAGTTGAACCCAATTTTATGACTTCTTTTGCTACTGTTGTTAAACAAATCACTGCCGTTAACTAAATCGTGTGGTCATTAACTGAATTGTTTTCCCCATTCCTTGTTGGAAGCTAGGCTTTTCACTTTTTAATACTTAGCTTTTCTGTCTTTCAATTTATCAGGGAATTCTTTATGCAACTGTGTTTCTTTCATCCAGGGTTTCTTTTTCTTTTTCAGTGGTATTGTGCCAGACTGGGCTTTTATAATCCCATTTTTCAGAGTTTCCCAAGCTTCTGGAGTTGTTTTTGCCTTAAAATTTCCATCCATGCAATCCTTCCCAAAGTCTAAGTTTGTTGAAATCAGCTGTCTTAAAGTCCAAGACACTAGGTTGACTTTGTTTTTTTGCCTGTGGCTGCATTATCCAATGAGAAATGATCACTCTCCCCCAAAGTTCTTATACCACATATACAAGAACTCCCCTGCTGTACTATACAAATTTTTGAACTGTGCCCTACAAAGTTCCCACATTGCTTGTACTATAAACTACTACCAACACTGATGTTCATGCTGATATATATTTATTTCAACGTTTAAAACTTTTTACTTGAGTTCAAGACAGCGTAGCAAGCTAGATCTTTTGGCTAAAGATGATGCAAATTTAGTGAGTATAGCATTCCCCCCTATGTTTGGCAATAAATATATGCTGACATGACAGCTGAATGTTGCAAGTGTTTACAATATTAATCCCACTGAGCAACAGCTGGAATCTAAATGCCTCCTGAATTTGGGAGAATTGCTGTGTCATGATTATCACAAAGGTGAGCGAGATACATTTCTCTGAAAGCTGGGAGTTTGTTCCCCTCCTAGCCCTCCCTTCAAAATTTCTCACACGGAAGCTGATCCTGGCTTGGTTTGGGGGCCAAGGTAGCTCCCCATGTTTTATATGCAAGGCCCCAAACGCATTCTCTTCCATTATGCTAAAGATAATTAGTGATGTGCAACGGTGAAGGGCTGTGGGTGGCACCAGGGAAACCCTGATTCGAACCTACGGCCACAGAAGCTTGATGGGCGATTTGGGGCTTGTCCTAGCTCAACCAGCTGCTGTTATGGGGAGAAATGGATCCTCTGGCTTCTCGCTTGGGCTCTTAAGGAAAGGTGGGAGATTCACTGCATGTCGCTTAATGACACTAAGTGAGACTGGAAATGCTGTTGTTAAGCAACATGTAAGTCAAAAAAAAAAATCCTCCTGACAAATGTCCCTTAGCGACAACAGTTCTAGTTGCTGTCGTTACATGAGAACTGTGCAGGTAGTTAAGGAGGACCTCATGATTCCAGCGTCTGACTTCTTGCTGGCTTCCCCATTGATTTTGCTTGTGGAAAGGCTGCAAATGATGATCACTTGATTGTGGGACGCTGAGATGGACAAGACGTCTGGTCATAAGTACTACCCAGCATCATTATAAACCTGGTTGGTAAAACAGAGTCTTTGATGAG